TGTTTTTGATCCACAGTGAAATACAGCCCTGCACAATAATCATATAAACAGTTATCAATTATTATAGATCAGACACGCTCTACCCACAGTCTTCCAAGTAAATCTCGTGCTGCGTTTAATCATTTAACCAAACAAGTTAGATCCCTCTGCTCGACTGCATGTCTGACTCAATGTGTGGGTATTTCCCCTGCCCTCATTGTTGTGGTTAGAGGCTTACCATGATGCATGATTAATGAGACGTAGGTGTGGCCCTAAACTTTAGCAAAAATGCTTCCATGGAATACTACTTGTTTGTTCGCTTCACATCTAAGGATATTAGGCAAGGCAAGGCAAGGCAAGTTTATTTATATAGCACCTTTCAACAGAAGGAAATTCAAAGTGCTTTACAAAAAATTAAAGCCATTAGGAAAATGGCATTTAAAATCAGACATTAAAAAGAAAAGCTAATAAAATAAACATTAAAAGAAAAAATACATGGATAAAAGTTACAGTGCAGTCTAAGATAGGAATAGTTCAATCAAAAGCAGCGACAAAAAGAAAAGTCTTCAGCCTGGATTTAAAAGTAGTCAGAGTTGCAGCGGACCTGCAGGTTTCTGGGAGTTTGTTCCAGATATTTGGAGCATAATAACTGAACGCTGCTTTACCATGTTTAGTTCTGACTCTGGGGACAGAAAGCTGACCAGTCCCTGAAGACCTGAGAGATCTGGATGGTTCATAATTTAGCAGGAGGTCGGAAATGTATTTTGGGCCTAAACCATTCAGTGCTTTATAAACCAGCAGCAGTATTTTGAAATCTATTCTTTGACACACAGGAAGCCAGTGTAAAGACTTCAGAACAGGAGTGATGTGATCCACTTTCTTAGTGTTAGTGAGGACTCGAGCAGCAGCGTTCTGAATCAGCTGCAGCTTCCTAATAGATTTTTTAGTGAGACCTGTGAAGACACCATTGCAGTAGTCGAGTCTACTGAAGATAAAAGCATGGACAAGTTTTTCCAAATCCTGCTGTGACATTAGTCTTTTAATCCTAGATATATTCTTTAGGTGATAGTAGGCTGATTTAGTAACTGTTTTAATGTGACTGTTGAAACTCAGGTCAGAGTCCATGACTACACCTAGATTTCTGGCTTTATCTGTTGTTTTGAACATTGCAGACTGAAGCTCAGCGCTAACTTTTATACGTTCTGCCTTGGCTCCAAAAACCATTACCTCAGTTTTATCTTTTATCTTTGTTTGTTTAAAGTTCTGACACATCCAATCATTGATTTGTTCAATGCACTTACTCAGTGTTTGAATTGGAGCATAGTCTCCTGGTGAATTTGTTACGTAAATTTGTGTGTCATCCGCATAGCTATGGTAACTTATGTTGTTGTTTTTCATTATTTGAGCCAGTGGTAGCATGTAGATGTTAAAGAGAAGAGGCCCCAAGATGGAGCCTTGAGGAACCCCACATGTCATATTTGTTAACTTAGATGTGTATATTAGGCTTTACAGTATAACTCTGTGTTCCCTGCTGTCAGAGGAACATGTGCTTGCTTGAATTATTTATAATTTAAAAGAAATTCCAATTTCCAATAAATCATTTAAATAAACAAATCATCTGTGTGACAATTTGAACTGGGAAGATGTAAAACTAAAAAGACATACTTTTGCTGGCTGTTAAACCAAAACAATCAACTGGAAAAGTGTTAAAGAGAGAGTTTCATCATTTCATTTTGTGCCTTGACTATGACATGTGACTATGACTCCAATGTTCAAAAAGCTCTTTATTTTTCTCATACTGCCTGTGCTGCAGCACCTCTTTTCACCCTCTGTCTGAAATAGGGATGCAAAATTCCGGGAATTTTCAAAGATGGAAACTTTCAACGGGAATTAACGGGAATTTATTCGGGCAAACCTAAGGCTCTTTGAGCCGGACACAGAGCCATCCTCAACAAGGCTGGACAGTGACACTGAAGAGGAAGACTCAGAGTGTGATGTTGATGAGGCCCAGGAAGAGCCCATTGACTGAAAGGGTTTAGCAAAAATGCAGAGGATCGCTCGAAGGAAGATTTGCATGTTTAATGGGACTTTTTGGAGAGAGAAGGGCTCTTTTCATTTAACATTTTGAATGGGACTTTGTGGATGGGGGGTGCATTTTTGTTCATTTTTTAATGAGTGGGGTTGGGGGGGGATGAGTAACACAAAAATGTAACACAACATTCCTGTTTTCGTTCTTCAATAAGAAACAATATTTGTTGAATAAAATAATTCAAACTTGTTCTGTTCTACATCAAAAAAATTTTTTTTAAATCAGTAGAAATGTCATGTTTTTTTGTTTAATTTTGCATCGAATATTTCCAAGATTCCCCAGCTTAACTTTCCATGGAAACTTTCCACCCCTTTGCAACCCTAGTCTGAAACCAGAGCCAGTCTGCTCTGATTGGTTAGCTGGCCGGCTCTGTTGTGATTGGTCAACCGCTTTCTTAGCCTGTAACGTACAATGTGTTGGAGCGTTTAGCCAATAGAAGCGCAAGTGTACCTAATAATATAATCTAAACATATCTTCAGTGATGTCATTATGCCACGTACATTAAAAAGAGTGAAATCGGGGGGGGAGTTGGGAGAGAAACTCCTTTGCAGTCTATTTACATGCTCCAAAATCTATACCATATACTACTATACAGTACTGTGAAAAACGAACAAAACCAAATGCCCCCTGACCAAATATGTCAAACACTGTGGCTTGGCACGGGTCAGTCTGTCCTGATAGGAACATGTAGCATGGCTTGGTACAGCCTATCTAGCATTATGAGGAAGTAGCAGCACAATCACATGAAATACTATCAGTTAAAAAGGGCAAAGTTATTAAGAGTACTGATACATAAAAAAACTGCTTAAATACACCTGCCATTATGAATTGATCAAACAAAACAGTAAATGGCAATGCATACATGCTACATTTGATCTAAATCACAATATGGTTGTATAAACAATATAATATGGTTTATATTTGTAAGAGGAGAAAATAGTTCAGCCCTACAGTAGATTATGGGTTGAGATTACCATGGTTGAGCCGGAGTCTCTGTTACTGCAGAGCAAAGTTTCCTAACCTGAGCTTCAGTCTGCAATGTTCAAAACAACAGATAAAGCCAGAAATCTAGGTGTAGTCATGGACTCTGACCTGAGTTTCAACAGTCACATTAAAACAGTTACTAAATCAGCCTACTATCACCTAAAGAATATATCTAGGATTAAAAGACTAATGTCACAGCAGGATTTGGAAAAACTTGTCCATGCTTTTATCTTCAGTAGACTGGACTACTGCAATGGTGTCTTTGCAGGTCTCAATAAAAAATCTATTAGGAAGCTGCAGCTAATTCAGAACGCCGCTGCTCGAGTCCTCACTAACACTAAGAAAGTGGATCACATCACTCCTGTTCTGAAGTCTTTACACTGGCTTCCTGTGTGTCAAAGAATAGATTTCAAAATACTGCTGCTGGTTTATAAAGCACTGAATGGTTTAGGCCCAAAATACATTTCTGACCTCCTGCTAAATTATGAACCATCCAGATCTCTCAGGTCTTCAGGGACTGGTCAGCTTTCTGTCCCCAGAGTCAGAACTAAACATGGTAAAGCAGCGTTCAGTTATTATGCTCCAAATATCTGGAACAAACTCCCAGAAACCTGCAGGTCCGCTGCAACTCTTACTACTTTTAAATCCAGGCTGAAGACTTTTCTTTTTGTCGCTGCTTTTAATTGATATATTCATATCTTAGACTGCACTGTAACTTTTATCCATGTATTTTTTCTTTTAATGTTTATTTTATTAGCTTTTCTTTTTAATGACTGATTTTAAATGCCATTTTCTTAATGTCTTTCATTTTTTGTAAAGCACTTTGAATTTCCTTCTGTTGAAAAGTGCTATATAAATAAACTTGCCTTGCCTTGCCTAACCTTGTCAAATATCATTGCAGAGTAAATATGTCAGAATTGTGCACATTCAGACAGTGTGTTTAATGTTATGCGTTGCTGACAACTGGCTTTGCAATTTAAGTGTCAAACTGTTTTGAAATTAGGCTGTATGTACTCTAATCCATTCCTTATAGGGGTCTTTAAAATGACAAGTCGAGCTGATCAACACTGAATTTAAATCTCAGAGCAGATCACAGGATCAAATAAATGGTAGAAATTAGCCCTCATGCACACATCTTCTGTATACAAGCAAGCCTTATAGAAGTCAAGGCAAGGACGCACACAATCTCCCATTCCCCCATAGGTCTAGACACCTATGCATCTAATAATAAACTCTTTCTGAGCGGCAGCTGGGATGTGCCGTCTGCAGCGCTGCAGTGGAAACTGTTCAGGAAGCCAAGTGACGGCAGGTTAATCGGCTTGGTGACATTTGACATCTGTGACTCACAGACGTGGGAGTGTGTGCGTGGAGGAGAGCTTTCAGTAACTCATTGAGAACACACACACATCCTCAAGTTTATCCTTAATTGTGGGCAAAATATGAATGAAGGAAAGGAAAAGCCCTTATTGAGATGAGGAATGCAACTATTTCACTAGTTAATGAAAAGTGCACTTGTATCTCTTTTAACAAAATATTACTGTTTCTCTAAACTTCAAAACATATGAGAATTTCACTCAACTGGGTAAAATAATCTGTCATCCCCGTGTATTCCTTTCCCACACCTATCCTTTATCTGTTGAAGCATTTGTACAAAACCGTTGCGGTCCTTAGCCAGACATCAAAAAATTAAACGTACATTTGCAACAAACGTTATAACTTCACAGGTTTTGAACTTGCATAACTAAGGCTTAGTGAACAAAAAGCAGCAGGGAAACCTTGTGTTTGCAGTATAAAGGCAGTGATATGACAAACCGATGTTTGTATGAAAACACTGTAAGCAAATGCTGTAAACTGATCATCTCATGTGACTTCCTCACAACAGACAAAAGGTCAAAAGGTGTTTTGGAAACATCCCTCCATCAGGTAGTGAACATAAGACGCTACTCACAGAAGTACTTGAGCGTCTCTTCTATCTGCTCGTGTGTGAGTCCCAGAGCCACGATTGGTGTCAGCAGAGGGGTGTGCAGCCAGTCGTCATGGTCGTATCCGAACACCGTGTCCGCTCGGAGGGTGTAGCTGGGCTGACCCTCAGACAGGAGGCTCACTATCTCCAACTCGGGCAGGTCGGAACAAAGGTCTGTGTAATATGGATAACGTTTGTGAGTGTATGGGTTTATATGAGGATAGAGAAACAAACAGAGAAAAAGGGCTTTAACAACATGTCACAACAAATAGTCACCTACAATGACACACTGCCCTCTACTGATAGGTCTATGAACATACCTTTCTTATAAGTTTACAATAAAATGAACTCTTGTGCTTGGTATTTGCAAAATGCTCATAAATAAAAATTCTTAATTAAGGGTTTAAGAGTTTTTGCAAAAACATAAATAAAATAGGAGTGTCTTCTCATTTATATTCATATATTTATATAGAAATGTTATTCATTGGGATAAACCCCTTGAGATGCACCATCTCGTTTTCAAGGGGGTCCTGAATATTTCTTTCAGGCATTCAGTCAATTGTACCAAACAATGTGAGCAATTATTTTGAATGTCGAAGAAAAAATAAATCATAAAATCCTAGGACTTTTGCAAGATTAAATGAAGATGTTTAAATACCAAACAGGCCTTTTTAAAAGATAAATTACCTTAATACACCTTGGAATCTTGATTACATGTTTAAAAAATATATATATATTTATATATATATATATATAAATGAAAGATATTCTTCCTCTGTGACTCACCTGTTAAAGTTGAGACATCGTGGAAGGCTGGTTGTCCCAGGTCCCCGAGGCTCTCAGATGTTTCAATATGAAGAGGCCGGGGGTCCGTCCCCAGGGACCCAAGCGCCTCCCCCTGCCCCTCATGGAGGGAGAACGCTGACTGGGAGTCCAGGTGGGCCTGTGGGGACCAGGAGGGAGGAGAAAGAGGAGCAGGAAGAGGAGAGGAGGGAGGGGAGGCAGGGTGGGACAGCTTGAGACGGGGCTGGAGGGTTCAGGCTGAAGGCTGACCTAGAGCTGGGTGTCCCGCTGTGGGACTGAGGCCCCCTGCTGGCTCAGGGAGAGGACACAGGCCTCCAGGGCATCAGGCTCTGGTTGGCTGAGAAGGTAACTAGAGAGGAGAATGCAAAGAGGAGGAGAGGGGAGAAAAGAGAGTCATTAGGATGTTGGAACTGTTCATTGTTATGTTCATTATATTGCTGTATATAAAGGGCAAGTTGAGTGACATATTAGTGTTCATATTTTAGTTCGTTTTGGTAGTTATTTATGGTTTTGTTTTTTGCAGAGAGATGGAGGCGTGTGGCGAAGTGGATAGAGCGTTGGTGTTCGGATCAAGGGAGCACAGGTTCAAACCCCACTGCAGTTTCTTTACCAGGAAAAGAGACATAAAAGCCGGTGTTCTTTGTAGTTTATAGAAAATAATAAATAAATTCTCGTCTAGACAATGGACATTTTCCTGTGTAAGATTTGCTTCCTGGTGCTTTAGCGGCTCTTTGATTTTGGGTTTGTTTTCAGTTTTAAGAACAAATAGCCACCACAAGAATGTTTAAAGGGTGTTTAAAGGATCTAGGTGACAACAATTGTATTGAATATAGCAATGCAGGTGATTATGATAAGTATGTACTGAAGATTGCAATCTTATACAGTTCTGCATACAAAGCCTGCAATATGGTGTGACCACAGTTTTGTTTTCAGTCTCTCCATTTCTCAAGCAACACGAGTGAACAACTTTAACTAGACGTTGCTTGACTTTTGCTTTGTAGCAATACATTGAACGCTTTTATTTTACCATTCAATAGACCCACAATTGGTCAAATTCCAGCATATAACATCTCTCAAACTAGTAACTGCAGACTGGTCTTTTTTAACACAGAAACTGAAACTTGTAAAACAACTCTCCATATGAGAAGTAGAGTTAATGGGGTTAATTGTCTTTCCAACGGTCTCACAAATAAAACAATTAAAAACTACAAAAGGGTTAAGAGTAATACTAAAATAGAAAATATGTGAAAAATGTGGTGAAGCCCTACTTTAAAAAAAAATGTTTTGTGATGAAACGGTATCAAAGAGGATGTTATATTATTATTAATAAAACCAGCAACTCCATTAGTGCCAGTTTCTAATATCTCTTATCATGCAAGTAACTGAGACCCATTTATTTTTCAACAGATCTGAAGTCTGCCAGCATCAAACCTTTTGTCTGATCAGAAAGCCTTTCAGTAAAACCACAACAGAGCCGGCCTCCTCTCTGTGTTGTAGGGTCACACGGATAGAGTAACCTCCGTCTGAAGCTACACACAGATCAGATTCCTCACCACACACACACACACACACACACACACACACACACACACACACACACACACACACACACACACACACACACACACACACACACACACACACACACCACACACACACACACACACACACACACACACACACACACACACACACACACACACACACACACACACACACACACACACACACACACACACACATCACACACACACACACACACACACACACACACACACACACACACACACACACACCACACACACACACACACACACACACACACACACACACACACACACACACACACACCACACACACACACACACACACACACACACACACACACACACACACACACACACACACACCACACACACACACACACACACACACACACACACACACACACACACACACACACACACACACACACACACACACACACACACACACACACACACACACACACACACACACACACTGATCTAGGTCGGTATCATCTCTGACAGTGATTCTCACTCTGGGGATTGGGTTTTCAGATTCACTCATTTAAAATACCACTCTATAAAAAGTCTTACAAATGTCACATAAAAACAAACATTTTAAATATATAATAGTTATACAAAACATTCCAATTAAAAAAAGATATACTTCTTAGAATCTAAACATATCTTTATCTATTATCATTTAATTGTGTCTTGTGTTTTTATACTTTGTACCTTTGTTTCTCTCACTAAGACTGTAGAAGTGTAAAAAATAGGGAATAAAATAAGAGGGTCACATCAGAATACTCTCTGTCTTGTTAGGGGTCTTTACCTGAAAACAATTGAGAACCTCTTTTATTCAATAACGTACATCTTTGGAAAAGAAGACTATTTTAATATTTACGTTCTTTGCATAATCACTTGACAGTATTTAAGATCCACCTTGATAAAACTAATACACCCAATTTAGCAAGGCTAAATTAAATAACAGACATCTCTCTGTTTAGTGTAATACAATTCAACAGCAATCATAACCTGCGTGAAGAGAGGATTTATTACAGGGCTAGGTGTGCATATTAAACTGGCATCTAAATGTATGTAGTTACTCGTAAACTAATTGAACTCTTGTTTATAGAATATCTGCCATCCCTGCCCCATATGTTCATAGTATGAAGGCAACCATAAATGTGGTTTTACAATAATACACTACAAGCATAACTAAATGATGTTGTGTGTATGGAAGTGATCAAGTCAAAATTCACAGAATTTATTTTGTAGGTGGTCATTTTTTTTTATTTGATCAGATTTATTTTGAATGTGTAAAACAATAATACAAACATTTAACATGAGAATTATTATACAATACAAAAAAAATGTAGAGTTTACACTTATTTAATCCCACCCCTTCTCCCAAAAACTAAATTATTAACATATACATTACATATATATAGTTTTGTTTTTATAATAATATTAGTAGTGTTGTTTGTATTAATTATTTTTTGAAGAATGTTCTTGTGTGTTTTGACATTATGTTTGTAAATATCTGAAAGAAACATTTATTTTCATTATCAAAAACAATATACAAAGCTACGGTAATGATAAAGATTTGCCACGTACTGAATCTTACTGATCTTTTATATATAAAAAAGTTTCTCATACAGTTTAAAAAGCTGCTTATTAATGACACAATACTGTACTTAAATTCCAGTCTGAGAGTGGCTTCATGCTTTAGCCAGGCGGGGAACAAAAGGACACTTGATACGTCGACCCAGTTATTGCAGTCAATAAAACATGCAGCCACAGGGTTAGGCCCAATTAAAAGGGACAGCGACCAGCCTGTCATGTGTAGAGCAGGCGCGCACACACACACACACACACACACACACACACACACACACACACACACACACACACACACACACACACACACACACACACACACTGCAGCTGTGGACCCTTTTAGATTACACTTGAATTAAAGTAACCCCCCGCCACAGCAGTATCACTATCACCAGCCGCTTTATATTCCCTTTACCCTTGTTGGTGTACTCCCCTCCTCTGCTTCCCACAGCACAGTCCATCCAATCAGCTGAGTGATTTGGTTGGTGGCCAACACCCCACCCCCCCTTCAATCCTCTCTCTCTTATCATGTCAAGAGGAGACGCAGCACCTGCACACACTCCAGCTTTGAGATCCCCCCCCCCCCCATCAGAGCAAACCATTTACAAGTTTGTGTTATGGCTGGGCTACTTAAAGAAAATCATATCGCAACACCAATATCTGATCAAATACCTTAATGTGATATTGTCACTATATTGTAGGGTTGGCAATTTATTCTTTAATAAAATATATGCACAATTAGAATTGTGATCAGTAATGTGGATTTAATCACGAAGCAGGTTAAGGCAATAATATAGTTGAAGCAGTTGCACCACGATGACAGCAGCCACCCTCCCATATTTGTTATTGAAAAAAGTGTCAATAACTGTCTATAGTGTTGCATTTATTTTGTCTAGTGTCTTTATTATTTGAATAAATGCCTTTATTTCGAAAGAAGATAAAAACAGTACTTTACAAATGTTTTAGTTTTTTCATTTCTTGTGATACTGATGTATGACTTGAAAAACACACATTTTAAAATGATCAGTAGTCTGTGCATTGTCCTTTCCATAACCTAGCAAGTATACCCATGATACCATTTGTTTATTATATCGCAAATCGCATATTGTCCACAATAATTGCAATATGAGTTTTTCCCCAAATTGTGCAGTCCTAGTTCATAGCGCATGTACTCTAGGTGTTTTTTATATCAGTCACATTCATATATTTAAATTATACTCCACATTACTGCTTTTTTTGTAATTCTGGTAAGAAGCCAACTCTATGTTGTGCTCTGCGCAATGGCAAGACCATTGACTCGTAATCTTGAACTGCTAGAACAATCTGATATATTCATTTAAAATGCAATTTACTGTAATGCAGCCTTTAAAACCAGAAAAAAAGACAACACTTGCAGATAACGCTTCTAAAATCTAAGACTGTAAATAGTCTCATATAAAGATACATATCTAACATTGATATATTGCTATGCCATAGTGAGTGTATCTTTACTAGTAATTATAACATTGATATATTGCTCAGCGCTAGTATATCTACAGTATGTGTTATGAGGAGAGTTAAAGTTCTTGTTTACACACAACAAACCTGTGAGCATGGGAATTTTTTTTTAAAGTCCTAAATTCACATCCACACAAAACAAAAGCTGTGTACTCATGTGGAGAAGGAAAACATGCATGTCGTCCAGGCTCTTCACATTAACCCTCCGTCAGTTCCAATTTGGCAGCGAGTGAAACACACTGTTGGTTTGTTAGCCACGCAGCAGAGCGAGACCCTGTCAGACACTTAGGCCTGACACCAGGGGACATGGTTATTAGCCCCCCTTTGTATCCTCATCTTTTTACTGTGCCAGGCAGGATGCCAGAGGAATAAGAAAACAAACTGTCAGCTGTAGCATCATTCATATCGAACACAATGGAGCTGCTGAGAAGGTTAGCGCACCAACCTGTGTCCAGAAAAAGCAACCAAAACAAAGTTAAAATGCTACCAGGGGGTTCAGTGTGCTGTAAACAGATTCAATGTGACATTAATATAATATAATCCAGTGAACAAATGCAACAAAGGCCATAGTTTTTGCTTCTTTTCCAAAATGTATAGTGTGTTTCTGCTTTTGACCTTGAATCGAGGGAGTTTAAAGGGCTCTACGTTGGTACTGGTGCAAACAATGCCCTTCCAGGATGGTGTGTACGTGAGCAGAAGCACACAGGAGGGAACGAGAGCCGGCAGGAGGGGAGAGGAAGGGAGGGAGGACAGCTACACAGAGGGGGCTGAACGAGGGGTTCATTTGAGACAGGGGTGCAAGGGAGAGCACACAGATCAAAGAGCCTTCTGGCTAGTGCAGCAGGTGACTGTCTTATGATCTCTTCTACTAGCCAACGGGATCCGCAACTCTGAACTGATCGCTTCTCAGAAAACAACCAAAAAACTAACAGTGGTTCTTAAATGCAGTCAAATCCAAATCATCTAACCTTATTAGGTTGTAGCCATGTTCTTATTAGCAAATGCTTCTAAAAGTCAATACATTTCAAATAAGCTGGCATTTGTCCTTAAAGGCCCTGTCACACTGTCCCGAAATTGACACCCGATGGACACACGAATATGGAATTGTGAATTTCGCACGAAGATGGCCCCGAACCACACACGAAGGCAACATTTACATTACATTTAAGACATACAACTGCAATGAAAGTACCAAAAACAATTATGTTACAGTACTATGATACTGTACTGATATCTTCAGACTTTGTTCTTTACTTTATCCGTCTTTATATGTAGAAAATATTACGTTTTCTCCGTAATGTTGTTTCCATAACAACAACAACTTCCTGTCAACTGTCCTTCAAAATAATATATTATATCCTTTTTAGTTTCACAGAACACAAATTGGGTTATTTACATAATATATTTACATGATTTTGTTGTGCAATAAAACAACCCGATGGACACACGATAAAGGAAATGTTCAAATTCGGCTGTGATCGTAGCAACATCGGGCCATTCGTGAGGGCATCTTAAGCCATCGTATGACCGCCGGTGGAGTTTCTCAGGCTCCGGCAGCAACTTCGTGAGCGGTGGCAAAATCTTTGGCATGCCAACAAATTGCCGAAGGACCTTGCGAAGGTTCATTTTCGTGTTGAATTCGTGTGTTAATTGTTCCCTTCGTAAGGCCATCGTGAGGGCATCTTGTTATCATCGGTGCCATCGGGCATTCGCCCCGATCAGAGTGAGGGCGAATGCACCGATGATAACACGAAGATGACACGATTTGACAAGATGCCCTCACGAGTGCCTTACGAAGTTGCCGCTCACAAAGTTGCTGCCGGAGCCTGAGAAACTCCACCGGCGGTCATACGATGGCTTAAAATGCCCTCACGAATGGCCCGATGTTGCTACGATCACAGCCGAATTTGAACATTTCCTTTATCGTGTGTCCATCGGGTGTCAATTTCGGGACAGTTTGACAGGGCCTTAACTGCCATTACATTTAAAGTTATGGAGACAAACATACGTTTTTTTATTTTTTTAAAAAGGTATTTACTTCAGCTTTGATCCAAAAAGCTGAAACCAATTATTTTTCAAGGAGGTAACTTTAATGACTTCTTCATTATGAATATCTGGCAGGCAGCATGCCCTTGGTTCTTTCTCGTTCATGTGACTAAGCTTCAAATGACGAGTCCCTGAATCTAATGATGACAGGAGAACCTCTGCATGATGCAAAATAATATATATGTGGGTTGAAGGGGAACGAGAAGTAAACTCAAATCCATTTTAAGTGCTTGCTTTAAGAAATTACAGGGCGGTCTACATTCTTCGAGGGGAATATAACATGAGATTTAAAGACTAAAAAATACACTGACTTTCTTTTTCTTCTTGAAATATTTAAAAAAAATATATAGGTAACATTAGCAATAACATTAACTAGAGCCTTGGCTCTGAGGGCTTCAACGTGCAAATAAACTCACATGCTTTCATGCCACTACATCGGACTATAAGACACAAAGTCTGGATAAGTGCAGCGATTGAATTATCAAATGATGTAATTAAAGAGTTTTAGAGTCTTTGGTTAGAGGAATCTTTGCTTTAGATATACTGCTCTACTGCCAAATCTTAACCAGTGAAGTTCTTCAAAAGCTCCACTTCCACTTAATGAAAATCCCCTGATTTATCTGTAAAAAAGCCAAGATCCAAACTTCAGGCTGGATTCAATATTTGAATCTTATCAGCTCAGAGGATAAGATGACCCAACTGCAGCATGTTACGTTTTATGACCAAAAACCAGGTAGCAACAAATCATTCAGAGAAAAATAATTGTACTATATGTAACATTTCCCCTCTGCTCTTCTCCCTGTACACCAACAGCTGCACCTCCAGTCACCAGTCTGTCAAGCTCCTGAAGTTCAGACGACACCACCCTCATCGGACTCATCTCTGGTGGGGACGAGTCTGCCTACAGGTGGGAGATGGACCATCTGGTGACCTGGTGCAGGGACAACCACCTGGAGCTCAACGCTCTCAAGACAGTGGAGATGGTTGTGGACTTCAGGAAGAACGCAGTCCCACCCGCCCCCATCACTCTGTGTGACTCCCCAGTAACTGCTGTGGAGTCTTTCCGCTTCCTGGGCACCATCATCGCCCAGGACCTCAAACGGGAGCAGAACATACTCCCTCATCAAAAAAGCCCAGCCGAGGATGTTCTTCCTGAGGCAGCTGAAGAAATTCAACCTGCTAAAGACGATGATGGTGAACTTCATGGAGTCCATCCTCACCTCCTCCATCACCATCTGGTACACTGCAGCCACAGCCAAGGATAAGGGCAGGCTGCAGCGGGTCATCCGCTCTGCAGAGAAGGTGATCGGCTGTAATCTGCCATCCCTCCACGACCTGCAAGCCTCCAGAACCTCCGACCCCTCCCACCCTGGACACAAACTGTTCACCCCCCTCCCCTCTGGCAGGAGGCTGCGCTCCATCAGGACCAAAACCTCTCGCCACCTGAACAGTTTCTTCCCCTCCGCTACCGGCCTCTTAAACAAGGCCCGCCCCCCCCCCCCCACTGACACTTACCTCAGCCACAACGTAGTCTATATGCATTACATTAATGCACACAATGTTCATACTGCTTACTACACATATTTCCTGTTTCATGTCCTATAATTCATTCATAGCATTCTATTTCCATGTAAATTACTGCTTTTTTTATTTATTTATTTTATTGCTATTTAGTTAACTATATTTTATTACGGTGCCCTTAAAGATTTTTTGTTTTATATTAGATTTCTTGTTTTATATTTTACGTCTGCACCATGACATCAAGTCAAATTCCTCGTATGTGTAAACCTATCTGGCAATAAACCTGTTTCTGATTCTGATACTAGACTTTAATTTAACTGTATTTCATTCAAAAAAAATTCTGCATAGGAGCCTTAATATTGCTTCTGATTGAGAGTTATCCTATTCAAAAATCAAAGTCGTGTCAAACATTATTTGTCATTTCTTGTAAATGTACACAAAATACCAGTTTTACTACCTTTTTATCCTACATTAGCCACAATGCTACGTTAGCCAACTGCGGACTAGAATACATCCTGAATTTAGCACACCTAATTAGTAAATTCAAGGTTAATTAAAATCAAATTGTGAGTGACCCCAAGAATTTACATGTTTAAACGACTCGTGAGATACCAGAGGATTTTAACCAGTATTGTAAAAGTGTAACAAATTGCTTACTATCATTTGGGCCAGTAAGATTTAGGCAGAACTAGAACAGCTCCACATAAAAACGGTCCTGTTCTGAAACCAGTGGCAGGTATTATCCAATGAATGACATCATGCTCTCATTATTTGAAATGATACAGCTGGCAACATGGCGTTGAATTGGTTATTCTATAACACATAGGTGTGAGCAAGCTCTCTGATTGGTCAATAGGCGTGTTTGATTCCACGATCAAAGAACGGTCAAATAGAACCTGCCTTTTCACAACAAGTCAGTATCCCTCCGCGTCTGAGAAAAACGGTATACCCTTGGCCCGCGAACTGGAACAAGAAAGCAGCGGAGAAGTAACGGGGCAGAAACCCTCCTTTTTACGTTACGAAACAAACTTCCAAACATAATATGGAAACATTTAAGATTAAATTCAACCTCCGGGGGGGTCTTACTGTGGAGGACTGGATTGAGGAGTGCCTAGAAAAAAAAGCACCTAAACGACAACATGCAGAGCTACGTGAAGAGCAGGTAGACCAACTGGAAAAGTACCACAATTCAAAAGCTAACTGCAAACTGGAACAAGAAAGCAGCGGAGAAGTAGTGGTTTCCATAGCGACACACAGCCGTTACATTGTCTCTCGTTGGAAAATAGTTAGCTACAAAATGTCAGATTTTATAGTTATCATCTGGACAACAGAAAAATGTGGAGCAACGCGCTTTTTGCCGGTCCGGGACACGCCAAACGGCCACTGGAGGAAAGCTCTTCCGTGAACACCACAGCACCAACTGCAAAAAAGTCTGGCATGGAGTTCATGAGTTGTTTCAAAAATTGCACGTTTAATGGCAGCATGAACATCCACCTTCATTCTGAAGCCAAAATGTTAAATATGTAAATAAATAAATAGCCTAATTCAAGAATTGTTGTCAATAAATTGGTTAATAATATATTATTTACTATAATTATATCAATAACTGTAAGCGGGGAAGCAGGAGTGTTCGATTGATCGGCTCTCGTTACCAAGGGAACTACTTTATAGGAACTACTTTCTGACGGAGATTAACTCAAGCAGAAAGTGAAGGTTTGGGAGCAAATTAGCCCACATTATGAAATTATGTTTACGATATTGTTGATTACAATGATAGTTTGTGTTATAGAATCGCAATCATACACTTGAGGCCGTTCTTTAACTCCAGTACAGGCGTACGGACCTCGGCGCAAGCGCCTCGGTCCTGCCGCAGTACTGTCGTACCAATAATGACGTTAAAGAACGGCCTCTCGTGTATGATTGCTTAAATCATTAACAACTCATATGTTCTTGGCCAAGTTCATTTTTCATTCTGTGATATCATCCATAAAAAGGTGAATGAAGTGACGGCTGAGAAAGGGATCACATGGGTCACCTTCACAGATATTCATGCAACATGATATCTGTGCTGATATCTGTATATAATAAGCCATTTTTTAAATATCATGCTGAGCTAGGCACAGTGCAAACACAAAGCCTTCATCATTACAAAAGACAGGATCTGATGCATGATGCTAAATAAATACTGCAGTTTGCCACAACAAAGAGAGCCGGGAATTGGGCTGATAATGAAAAAAGGCACTTTAAAGCATGAGAATTACAGGAAAGAGTAATGGGGCCACTAATGCTTCATTATAAATACTGATTTATCTGTTTTTCATACAAAAATGATCGATTAACCATTTAGTCCACAAAGTCATGTAGAAATAAGGGGAGAAAAACTGTTATATTCAGTTCACAATAATGTGAAAAGCAACAAAGCCTCACACGTGAAATGCTGGAACAAGTGAGTTTTTATGTGCGATATATGACAATTATCAAATGTGTATGTAATGTATCCACTAACTACAGTACTAGGAACGGCTATGGTGTTGAGAAGCTGGAAAGTATCAAGAGAGATCAAAGTGACAAGCAGGAGGAAAAGAGCATGGGAAAAAACAGGAGGCTAGTAAGAAAGACTAGAGCAAGAATGTCACAGCTGGAAGAACTAAATCTGGACAGCAACTGCCCACGAAAAGAAAGCGGTTACAAAAACCAAAATACCAACTACTGAGTCTCTAAAGGCCAATCTGCTCTGTGAGCTCAACATGTGGTCCTTTAAATCTGCTCCTAAGGCACCAAAACACATCAGAGCTATATCTCAACAAACTCACCCTGTAGAGCTTTGAGATCTGCGCAGGAATAACAACTTGACTGACTAATGGTTAAAGAGTATGTTGGTGTAGGGCACAGATCCAGTCTGCTGAGTTACTGAATGCCTTGACCTTTAAAACAGAATTGTAACAGCTGATCAAGAGGCAAGGTCGAAATCATTATTGTGTTCTTCAAATCAAAAGCCCTTATGTGTCCTCAGATCTGTTTGTCTGTAATCTGTTGTGTTTTTAAAAGATCTTTAAAGATACTCCAATGTATAGTTATAGGTAAATATGTAACTAAACTATTGAGGGAAAATAATGGAGGTCAATCCACACGTAACTAACTACCTAATGTTCACACCCATAGACTGTTATGTTGCAGGTCACTGTACACCACTAAGTGTCTTTGAGACACTCTGAAGGGACAGAAAGCAGAACACATCATAACATCGCTGCACTTAGCTTCAAAAGTACTTTTAGGGAGGGACACAAGATGATTTAATCATACTTACTATGTGTGAAAAGGTACCTTCCTTTCACACCTATGTATCAAATCAAACAAACAAACAGAAATGTGTCAGCTGTAATGACAGTTGCACTGAAAGGTAAAAAGGTCTAGCTACTGACGGCAGTGTTTTATGTTTTGAGTCCCAATTATCTGAATAATAGTGAGGCGTTCCTATTTGTTATGATGATAAACAGTTATCAAGCAGAAAACAAAAGGGGAAGTCTCTCCCACTTGGTCACATCTGAAAGTTGAAAGGCGATCATAACAATTAATCATAGAGGGAAATTAAATTGCTCTCGGACAGCTAATCAGCAGGGTTGGTTCAAGAGTGCCCATATTTAAAATAATTGAACTTTTGCTAAAAAAAAGTGGCCCAATATGACGGAAAAAACATTAATTTATGAAACTCATTTTTGCTGACATGACAAATATCACGAGGGGACAAACACAAGCAGGTAAAGGCTTCAGATCAGAGTACAGCAACATTAGCCAAATGCTAATAACAGGGGACGTGCCAGCAGGCCATATGATTATTAAAAACAACTGAAACAGACTTACTGTGCTGCTGCAGTTGTTATCTTAGCATGTGATGAGTGATATCCAGTGTTTGTAAGGTACTGTCTCCTTTAGTGTGCGTCCGTTAAATGAAATGCTCTCTGGGCTGCTTTACCGGCCGGCTTCTGTCCTGTCTCGAGAGTGTCCTGTGAGAGAGAGCGAGAGAGAGAGAGAGCGAGAGAGAGAGAGCGAGAGAGCGAGAGAGCGAGAGAGAGCGAGAGAGAGAGAGAGAGAAACAGTCAGGCGGGATGGAGGTGGGGCTGAAGGGGGAATGAAAGAGGAGGAGGGACGTACGGAGAAAAGGCGTGCTGGTTTATTATGTCTGAGAAACAGACAGAAACTTAAGCAGAGCCAGAGGTCTGTAAGGTGTTGGTGTTTCTGCAGCAGCTCAGGATGTCCCACGTCCTCATCACATGGACACGGTTATTTGCATTAACCAAACTCTGCAAAGCTCCTGGCTCTGGTTTCTGCTGTGCTATCTAAATCAAACCTATAGTTCAA